TGTTCCAAAAATTTGGTAATTTCCTTCTTAATCTCCTCTATGACCCAGCTATCATTCAGCATGAGGTTATTTAGCTTCCATGTTTCTGTATGCGTATGCAGATTCCTGTTGTTATTGCGTTAAACTTTTATTCCATGATAGTCCAAGAAAATACAAGGAATGATTTCTATTCTTTTAAATTTGCTGAGGTTAGACTTGTGACCTAAGATGTGATCAATTTGGGGCTGATGAGAAGAATGTATATTCAGTTTTGTTAGGATGAAATGTTCTATAGATGCCTGTTAGATACAAATGTTGAATGATTAGGTTTAAGTCTAAAATTTCTTTGCTTAGCTTCTTATTATCCAAAACTGCTAAAGGAGTATTAAAATCTCCGACAATTATGGTGCTAGAGATAGTCAAGTTGCTCATGTATGTTAGTCTCTCATAAATTGAGGCACATTCTGGTTGGTGCATAAATGTTGACGATTGAAATCTCATCATGTTGAGTGTTGCCCTTAACAAATATGAAATGACCATCCTTGTCCTTCTTTACATTGGTTGGTTTAAAGCCTTTTGTATCTGTGAATAAAATTGCACACCTACTTTTTTCTGATTTCCATTTGCCTGAATTATAGATGACCATTCCTTCACCCTGAGTCTATGTTTATCTTTTAAGGTAAGGTGAGATTCTTGAATGAGATGTCTGGCCTGAGTTTTTGTATCCAGTCAGCCAACCTGTGCCTCTTTAGAGGACAGTTTAAGTCATTCACATTATTGATAAGCAAGCTAGTATTTTGGGTTTTGTGTTTTTCGAAAGTCTAGTGGACATTTTTAATCCTTTTGCCATTGTGGAAGCTGGAATTTCATTAAAAGTTTCTGAGTGAGTTTACTTTTGTGGTGGAGGATTGCGCTGGTCATTATGGAGGATAGGTCTGAGAATATCCTGGAAAGCTAGTCTAGTTATGGCAGATTTCTTCAACATGTGAATGTCATTAAAGTATTTAATTTCTCGATCATAAATGAAACTCAGTTTAGCTGGATACAGGATCCTGGGTTGAAAGTTATTTTGTTTAAGGAAATTAAAGGTCGATGACCAACTTCTTCTAGCTTGAAAGGTTTCAGCAGAGAGATCTGCAGTCATTCTAATGTTCTTCCCCTTGTAAGTTATGGTTTTCTTATGTCTTGCAGCTTGCAGAATTTTCTCCTTCATATTAACTTTGGCGAAGCTAATTATAATGTGTCTATGAGAATTTTTATTTGGGTTGAGTTGCGCCGATGTTCTGAAACTGTTTGCTATCTGGATTTCAGAATCTTTTGGCATGTCTGTAAAATTCTTTTTGATTATTTTATGAAGTAAAGCTTCAGTATCTTTCACAGCAACCTCATGACCTTCAGGTATTCCTATAAGGTGAATATTAGATCTCTTCGAATTATCCCAGAGCTCTCTGAATGATCTGTTGTTATTCTCCACTTCTTTTATTCATCGAGCATTTGGGAGCACTCAAAAGCTTTGTCTTTGGTGTCAGTGATCTTTTCTTCTGCCTGTTCCATTCTGTTATTGAGGGATTCTACTGTATTTCTCAGATCTTTGAGGGCTGCAAGTTCTTGCCTCAGTGTGTCAAAATCTTTGGTGATTTTGTCTTTGAATACATTGAATTCTTGATACATCTTTTGAATAACTCCTTGAAATTCTAATTCCATCCTTACCTCCATTCTGTTGATCTTATTTGCAATCCAGATTCTGAACTCGATTTCTGACACCTTAGCCATTTGTTTATGAATGGGATTTTGTGCTGTATCTGCCATATTGTTCCTTGAGCCCAAGTTTGAAGTTGCTGTGAGATGTGATGCCACAGCATTCTACAGAGAGCAACAAAGTTAGACTCTGTCTCCAAAAAAGAAAAAAATAAGAATAAGAATAATAAATCATTATTACAACCATAAGAGGTTGATACTAATATTAATCCCATCTTATAGGTGAGAAACTCAAGTCTCAGAGAAGCCCCACTTTTACAGAAAAACAAATCTCAGAGAGGTTAAATAACTGACCTGTGGCCCCACAGGTAAGGAATGGTAAAGCTGAGATTTAAACCTAGGTCAGTTTATTCCAACTCTGTGAGACTTGAGGGTGACAGATGGTTCAAAGTGTCAGAGCCAGAAAGGCCGTTTAAGTCACGTGTGCAGCTATTTGTCTTGCACAACCAGCATCTGACATGCGAAAGTAAGTACAGACTTTGTGGTAATCCAAGCCTGCGTTTGCTGCTTATTGCTCTGTGCTCTTTTTTTTTTTAGTTGACCCTTTTCTCATTATGAATTACATTCTTTATTCCTGGAAATATTGTTTGCTCTGTGCTCTTGTGCGCAGGCCTTATTTTCCTGATCTATAAAATAATAGTACTGCTGGGTGTGGTGGCTCACACCTATAATCCTATCACTCTGAGAGATTACCTGAGCTCAGGAGTTTGAGACCAGCCTGAGCAAGAGCAAGATGTGTCTCTACTAAAAATAGAAAAATTATTTGGGTATTGAGGCAGGTACCTATAACCAGCTATTCAGGAGGCTAAAGCCAGAAGATCTCTTGAGCCCAAGAATTTGAGGTTGCTGTGACACCACTGCACTATCCAAGGCCACAGAGTGAGACTTTGTCCCAAAAAAAAAGATAAGGCTTGGTGCCTATGGCTCAAGCAGCTAAGGCACCAGCCACATACACCTGAGCTGGCGGGTTCAAATCCAGCCCAGGCCTGCCAAACAACAGTGACAGCTGCAACCAAAAAATAGCCAGGCAAGAAAATCGCTTGAGCTCAGGAGTTGGGGGTTGCTATCAGCTATGATGCCACAGCACTCTACCCAGGGCAACAGCTTGAGGTTCTGTCTCAAAAAAAAAAAGATAAAATAACAGTACTGACTCTTACAGGATCATTCTGAGGATCATATGAAAGTATATGAAGGGCTCAGCACCCATAGCACAGTGGTTGCAGTGCCAGCCACATACACCAAGGCTGGTCAGTTCAAACCTGGCCCAGGCCTGCTAAACAACAATGACAACTGCAGCAAAAAATAACCAGGCGTCATGGCGGGCACCTGTAGTCCCAGCTACTTGGAAGACTGAGGCAAGAGAATCACTTGAGCCCAAGAGTTTGAGGTTGCTGTGACTGAGACCATGGCACTCTACCAAGGATGACACTCTGAAGTCTCACTCTGTCTCAAAAAAAAAAAAAAAAGTATAGGGCGGCACCTATGGCTCAAAGAAGTAGGGCACTGGCCCCATATGCTGGAGGTGACGGGTTCAAACCCAGCCCCAGCCAAAAACTGCAAAAAATAATAATAATAATAAAAGAAAGTATATGAAGTACATAGTCTCCATCAGGTGTTTGGTAAATAGTAACTTTCTTTTTGCTTTGAGACTCTGTCTCACTTTGTTTCCCAGGCTAGAATTTTGTGGCATCCACGTAGCTCATAGCAACCTCAGGCTCCTGGATTCAAGCAATCCTCTTGCCTCAGCCTCCCAAGTACCTGAGACTATAGACTTCTGCCACAGTGGCTGGCAAGTTTTTCTATTTTTGGTAGAGACAAAGTCTTTCTCTTTTTTTTCCTTTTTTGGGTTTTACTCTTGCTCAGGCTGGTCTCAAACTCCTGAGCTTAAGGGATCCTTCTTGCCACAGCCTCCCAAAGTGCTAGGATTACAGGTGTGAGCTACCACCCTTGGCCTACAACTGTTTTTATTATAACTTATGATTATAAGTTGGGGTATAATTAGTTTGCAGTTGAGAAAAGCTCAGAATCAGAGAGGATAAGCCATTTATTAGCCAAAGTTGCATGAAGGCAGAGCTAGTAGTCTGGTCCCATATCTTGGCTCCTCGTTAGTAGACCATGTGGAGGAATGCCACTTCGTCATTGGAGCAACTCTGATAGTGAGACAGAGCATCGGAGCCCCCAAGATAGAAAGACAGATTGATTTTCATAATAGGCATTTTCATTAATTACTGTTATTGCAAGTCCAAGATCTTCACAGAGATCTCTCAGTGAAGAACATTCTTAATAAGGCCACTTGGTGCAAAGTGGAAAAGACATATACACAAAATGTCATTCATGGCTCGGCGCCTGTGGCTCAAGTGGCTAAGGCGCCAGCCACATACACCTGAGCTGGCGGGTTCGAATCCAGCCTGGGCCCACCAAACAACAATGACAGCTGCAACCAAAAAATAGCCAGGCTTTGTGGTGGGCACCTGTAGTCCCAGCTACTTGGGAGGCAGAGGCAGGAGACTTGCATGAGCCCAGGAGTTGGAGGTTGCTGTGAGCTGTGATGCCATGGCACTGTGCCCAGGGCGACAGCTTGAGGCTCTGTCTCAAAAAAAAAAAAAAGTCATTCATTTGTTTACTCAGCAGACATCTGCTCCAGGCCAGGCTCTGCTGAACTGGGGACAGAGGGGAATGAGGAGTTTCCCAACCTCAAGGAGATGTTTTTTTGCCTCCTGAACACAGAGGCCTCTGGGATTCTCATTAGGGGCAGCCACCTCACCCCACCCACTCATCCGTCCTCAGAAGGGCATTTGTATACTCTTTGAAAAGCAGGTTCCTTCTTATTGGATAACTAAGATCTTGATTTTGATGTGTGTTTCAGCTGGGAAGGGCTATCCCTGCAAGACGTGTAAGATAGTGCTGAACTCCATAGAACAGTACCAAGCTCACATCAGCGGCTTCAAACACAAGAACCAGTGAGTAACCCTTCTTTGAAATTCAATGGTCTACAGCAGGAGCTCAGGGCTTCTGAGTCAGAACAAGTTGGGTAGTCCTCTGCTAACATGGAATCCTGACAGCCTTTTCAAAGTCAACAGAAGGTAAATCAGTTAAAAGGAAAAAGTATCTCTGTAAGTTTTTCTCCACCAGTGTCTTCCCAGCCTTTGGACCTCTAGAGAAGCATAGATTATTTCCTCGGTGGTCCTAAATGAGTACCTGGGACTAGGCACAATGGCTCACACCTGTAATCCTAGCTCTCTGGGAGGCCAAGGCAGGTAGATCGCTTGAGCTCAAGAGTTTGAGACCAGGCTGAACATGGTAGCTCAAGCCTGTAATTCTAGCACATTGGGAGGCCAGGGCAAGTAGATTGGCTGAGCTCACAGGTTTGAGACACCATCTCTAAAAAATAACCAGGCATTGTGACAGGCACTTGTAGTCTCAGCTACTTGGGAGGCTGAGATAGCAGAATCACTTGAACCCAACAGTTTGGGGTTGCTGTGAGCTATGAAGCCATGGCACTCTACCAAGAGCAACAAAGTGAGACTCTGTCTCAAAACAAAAAAAAAGGTCAAGACCAGCCTGAGCAAGAGTGAGACCTGGTCTCTACTAAAATAGCTGGATGCAGTAGTGTACAGTACACTACACCAGTTAGTTAAGTAGTCCCAGCTACTCAGCAGGCTGACGCAAGAGGATTGCTCAAGCCTTAGAGTTTAAGGTTGCTGTGAGCTATGACACCATGACATTCTACCCTGGGCAACAGAATGAGATGTATCAAAAAAAAAAAAAAAAAAAAAGGCTTAGTGACCGTAGCACAGTGGTTATGGCACCAGCCACGTACACCAAGGCTGGCAAGTTCAAACCTGGCCCAGGAAAGCTAAACAACAATGACAACTGCAACAAAAAATAGCTGGGCATTGTGGTGGGTGCCAGTAGTCCCAGCTATTGGAAGGCTGAGGCAAGAGAATCACTTAAGCCCAGGAGTTTGAGGTTGTTGTGAGTTGTGATGCCACAGCATTCTACTTGAAGGCAACATAGTAAGAATCTGTCTAAAGGGTGGCGCCTGTGACTCAGTGAGTAGGGCACTGGCCCCATATACCAAGGGTGGCGGGTTCAAATCCAGCCTCAGCCAAACTGCAACAGAAAATAGCTGGGTGTTGTGGCAAGTGCCTGTGGTCCCAGCTACTTGGGAGACTGAGGCAAGAGAATCACCTAAGCCCAAGAGCTGGAGGTTGCTGTGAGCTGTGATGCCATGGCAGTCTACTGAGGGCAACAAAGTGAGACTCTGTCTCTAAAAAAAAAAGAATAGGCAGTGCCTATGGCTCAGTGGGTAGGGCCCCAGCCCCATATACCAAGGGTGGTGGGTTCAAACCCGGCCCCAAACAAACTGCAAAAATAACCAGGCATTGTGGTGGGTATCTCTTCCCAGCTACTCGGGAGACTAAGGTAAGAGAATCGCCTAAGCCCAGGAGTTGGAAATTGCTGTGAGTTGTGACACCACCGCACTCTACCAATGGTGATAAAGTGAGACTCTGTCTCTAAAAAAATAATAATAATAATACATGGGTTTCCTGACCTGTAGCAGTCTAACTAAGGAATTTTTTCTCCACTGGCCTGAAGACCCTAGCCTTTGCTGCCATCAGTTCTGTGGCAAGAATTCCTTCTATAAGCCATTACCAAAATGACCAAGTCCATTCATTTCATTAAATACCTTCTGAGTGCTGGCCAAGACCCTGCTCTCATGACCTTACAGTCTGGTGGGAGGAAACAGACTAAGCAAGTAAACAACTGATAATTACACACTGTGATAAGTGTTTTGAAGAGTCACTTGTTCATGATACTCTTGAAAATTGCTAACATTCATTGAATGTCCTGTTGCAGGCCATATGCCAAGCAAATTCTCTCACAGCAGGGGTTGTTATTCCCATTTTACAGATTTGGGCAGCTAGCATCGAAGTGATCCTATAAGGCAGAGTCATAATTCAAAGGGAAACCTGTCTAACTCACAGCATGCTCCACACAGGGCATCATGCTGTGGAGGCGATAGCGGCATAAGATATGAAAAGGATAGCACCCAATCAGGAGGGCTCACATGGTTTTGTCCTTTCCTCTTCAAAGAGGAACATGTGTGAGCAGTGTGCCACAATATATTCTACAATGGATAGCAGCATCCTTATTTTACAGAGAAGGAAACTGAGTTTCAGGCAGGCAAGTGTGCTGAAATGATTACTTCAACTTTGGTGGTTAGATTTTGCATTGCTTTACTGAGCTGAATGATTTAAAGGTGGTAGAAACACAGAGTATTGGAGTAAAAAATGTCCTCAGTCCTCTCCATTCTGTCCTCACACTGTAGCAGATCTTCCTCTTTGTGGATGTTTGTAATTTGGGAGACTCTTTTTATTTTATTTTATTTATTTTTTTGAGACAGAGTCTTGTCTGTCACTCCAGCTAGAGTACCGTGACATCTTCATGGTTCACTGCAACCTCAAACTTCTGGGCTCAAGTGAGCTCCCTGCCTTAGCCTCCCAAGTACCTGGGACTACAGGTCTTACCACGACACCTGGCTGATTTTTCTATTTTTAGTAGAGACAGGGTTTCGCTCTTGCTCCTGGGTTCAAGCAGTCCTCCCACCTCAGCCTCCCAAAGTGTAAGGATTACAGGCATGAGTCTCTGTGCTCACCCTTTGGGGGATTCTTGAAGTTTATTTTTGGTATGGACTTGAGACAAACCCCAGCAACCAAGCCTGGAGCTCACAGTGTTCAGCATACCTCTCTTGCAACTTGGCTGATAGTAGTTCAGTAGAAAACCGGGAGCCAACCAGATTCCTGCGCTGGGGCTACACCAACTTGAAAATGCAAGTGTTATTCAATGTTTGTTCCTTTCCTAAACTTTCTAGCCATGTGACCTTGGGCAGGTCAATAAACCTCTCTGAACTTCTAATTCTTTTTTTTTTTTTTTAGAGACAGAGCCTCACTTTATTGCCCTCGGTAGAGAGCCATGACAGCGTCAAACAGTTTACAGCAATGTCCAACTCCTGGGCTTAGGTGATTCTCTTGCCTCAGCCTCCAGAGTAGCTGGGACTATAGGCACCCGCCACACTGCCCAGCTATTTTTTGTTGTTGTTGTTGCAGTATGGCTGGAGCCAGGTTTGAAGCCACCACCCTCGGTATATGGGGCCGGGGCCCTACTCACTGAACCACAGGTGCCTTTAATTTCTTTTTTTTTTTTTTGGCAGTTTTTGGCCAGGGCAGAATTTGAACCCGCCACCTCTGGCATATGGGGCCAGCGCCCTACTCCTTTGAGCCACAGCACCGCCCTCTGAACCTCTAATTCTTAAGATATAAGATTAAAGCTACAGTTTGTTGAACACCTAATTCAATCTCATTAACTCAACAAAAGCTCTGAATTAGGTCATCGCATACACATCACCACACCTCACCTTTTACAAGCAAAGAAAGCTTAATATCAGGTAAGTTAAGTGACTTGCCTGAGATCACATCATTATTGGGAGTAAGACCCAAGATTTAAACTATTCGACTCCAAAGCCCATTCATTTTGCTCTGCTACTACCATGTGGAACTCATTAGCCTCACTTTACAGGCTGATGTTAGTGTTAGACATAATATATGTGAAGTGCTGGTGTCAACAAAGAGAACTATTAAAAAGAAGCTTTTATTCATTCAATAAATGCTTATTGAGCACCTATTATGTGGTAGGAGCTGTTTTGGGCACTGGGGCCACAAGAGGAACCAAGACCAGTGCTGTTCTTGATCCTTTGGGTCCTCCCCTAGTAATTGAAGCAGATCCTAAACAAATCGGTAAACAAAATGAGATGATAATCAGGTAGTGCTGGGTACCTAGAGAGTGGGTTAGAGAGTGACAGAAAAGGCTCTTCAGATTGAGTTTGAGGGTAAGAATGATACAGAAGGAGGTTGTATAGGGCCGTGTAGGCAGAGTAATTAGTTTGGTATAGTGGAAAGGTATGGGCTATAGTTCTGAATCTACCACTTAACAATTTACTTTGGGGCCAGGTGTGATGGCTCATGCCTATAATCAAAGACTTTAGGAGACAAAGGAGGAAGGATCTCTTGAGGCCAGGAATTCAAAATCAGCCTGGACAATAGTGAGACCTCATCTCTACAAAAAATTTTAAAAGTTGCTGGGTGGTGCTGTGCACACCTAAAGTCCCTGCTACTCAGGAGGCTGAAGCAGGAGAATAGCTTGAGCCCAGAAATTGGAAGTTGCAGTGACCTGTGATGATGCCACTGCACTCTAGGCTGGGTGATAGAGTATAAGATTATCTAAAATAATTTTTTTTTTTTTTTACTTTGGGGCTGGACATGGTGACTCATGCCTATATAATCCTACAATTTTGGAAAGCCATGGAGGGAGGATCACTTGAGATCAGGAGTTTGAGACCAGCCTAAACAAGCATGGGACCCATTTCTACAAAAAATAGAAAAATTAGGCTGGGCACAGTGACTCACACCTGTAATCCTAGCACTCTGGAAGGCAGAGGTGGGGGGATTGTTTGAGCTCAGGAGTTCAACACCAGCCTAAACAAGAGCAAGACCCCATCTTTTTTTTTTTTTTGAGACAGAGCCTCAAGCTGTCCCCCTGAGTAGAATGCCATGGCATCACAGCTCACAGCAACCTCCAACTCCTGGGCTCAAGCGAGTCTCTTGCCTCAGCCTCCCCAGTAGCTGGGACCACAAGCGCCTGTCACAACGCCCGGCTATTTTTTGGTTGCAGCCGTCATTGTTTGGCGGGCCCAGGCTGGATTTGAACCCACCACCCTAGGTGTATGTGGTTGGCGGCCTAGCCACTTGAGCCACAGGCACCGAGCCCAAGACCCCATCTCTAATAAAAGTAGCCAGGTATTGTGGTGGGCACCTATAGTCCCAGCAACTCAGGAGGCTGAGGCAAAAGACTCACTTGAGCTCAAGAGTTTGAGGTTGCTGTGAGCTATGATGCCATAGCATTCTATGGAGTGTGACAAAGTGAGACTCTCTCTCAAAAAAACAGAAAAATAGAAAAATTAGCTGAGTACAGTGGTACACACCTGAAGTCCCAGCTACTTGGGTGGCTGAGGCAGGAGGATTGCTTAAGCCCAGGAGTTTGAGGTTGCAGTGAGCTATGATGCTGCCACCACATTCTAGCTTGGACAACAGAGCAAGACCCTAACTCCAAAAGAAAAGAGAAAAAATAATACTTACTTTGGGCTAGCCCCTTAAGCTTTCTGAGCTTTGGTTTCCTTGTATGTAAAGGGGAGGGTGCTATTTCTTATCTTGTAGAATTCACATGAAATGGAATGATAGAAGATCAGCACCCAGCATTGTGTCTGCCATGCAACGGGCCTTGGTAAGGGAAAGCTGCCCTGCTTAATTACTCCAAGGCCCTAGGAGAGCCAAACTATCATCAAAATAAGCTACTTGGGGTGCCATTACAGCTATGCCACACACTGACCCTGTGCCTTTGTTCTTTCTCAAATTATAGGTCACCAAAAATTATGGCATCATCCCTGGGCCAGATTCCCATGCAAAGGCAACCTATTCAGAAAGACTCAACCACCTTGGAAGACTAGAGATGTTTCTACCCACTACCTCATGTTGGACCAGTGTGAGCCAGCTTCCTGTGACTGGTTAGCCCTTGGTTCCCTCTTTCTGCTTTCTTAAACCAGGAGAATACATGGGCCTGAGGCAGGATGGGGCCACAGACAGCCTCTGATTGGTCTAAGCTAATTCACTTCTGCTCCTCCCTTTTGGTACAGGCACTATAGGTCATGACAGGGGAGATAAAGACTCTTGAAAGGACTTGGAGTCTTACACAGTAGTAGTTTGAAGGATGACTTTTCCCTTTCCACAGTCCCTCTGGGCTGCATGTGCTGAGGTCCTAGCACCTGTCTTTCCTCTAAGAGCCAATCTTGGACCAATTGCTGCAGCTAAAGAACAGAGCACTTCCTGGGCTCTAGGCATCTCTGGTGAAACCCAGAACCTTCATGCCAGGCTTTGGCCCAGGGCAGGAAACAGTAAGTGGTGTGGCTGTGACATGGCAGTTTGGAGCTGATATGACACTACCCCTCTCCCAAAAAAGTACACACTTTCCTCAGCCTTGGACCAGGTACTGGCCAATTGTGCAGGTTTCTGCTGACTGTGAAGTCCCCTCCTGGAGCAATGACATAGTCCTGGCAGAGCACTGCTATCCTTCCTACCCCTTTTCCACAATTCCTGAATGGTGCTAAGGATCTGCAGCACCTGGGGACAAGCTGGAACTGGAGGAGCCTCAGTGACTAGTAGGATCATAGGAAACTCCAGTGGGAATGGAACCTTTCCCCTTCTCCACCAGGGGTGCTATGACCCAAGATCATGTGGGAAAGTCCCCCACATGCCAGTTTCCTGGAGGCTTCTGTGTGCCAAAAGCAAACTGCCTCATGCCAGCCAGCCTGCCCCTCAACCCTACCAGTCCTCTCTTTCTCCTTGTGCAGCAGACCACCCTACCCAGGTTGCTATGGTGCTAGCCTTTCCCCATCATCCACCAGATGATTTCTGGGTGCCCAGGAGCTCTATAGATGGTATCCCAGGGAAAGAAATGGAGAGCTGATGCACGTTTCTACAGTAAGGAAGCAGATGTTCCCAAGGCCCCAAACCTAGATTTCTCTAACTCTGCTGCATTTTACAGCCTAGGACTTGACCGGGGGGGGGGGGGGGGTAGATTTTTCCTTGTAGCTTTCATTCAAGAATTCCAGGGAATGTCACCACCAGAGAGGCTCCTCTTCATTGAATCAAGCCCCTACCTGCTCTTGTGGCCACCTCTCCCCACTTCCTATCACTTTACCTGTGAAATGCCTTTGCATATTGTGTGTGTGTGTGTGTGTGTGTGTGTGTATGTGTGCTTATGCTCCGTTTTGTGGTCACTGAAGGATCCAAATAAAGAATTTCTCCAATGAGCCAGTCTACAAATTAATGGATGTGGGCTTGGGCTTTGCAGCATATTGCCATTGGATCTAGTATGTCTGTATGTCTAGTATGTCTTAACTACTCAGCCCCACCCCGTTAGGACCCCTGGGTCCTCAGAATTAATCTTAGGAGTTGAGACAGAGTCAGACATTCAGATTGCTAGGTAACTGTGAAAGTCTCCCAGGTACCCTAAACTCAACACAGCCTCATCCACTTATCTACCTCCCACATCCCATAGGGCCTCATGAAGTTCTTGGGAGGTCTTTAAACTGGGGATCTGCTTTATGTTTGAGAGAATCATTCTGCTGCTGTGTAAAGGAATGCTGGGGAGCAGAAAATGAGACAGGGAAGCCTGTACAGAGGTTGTGGCCATTATGGCTCTCTACAGACTAAACCCTTCAGGGCAGAGACTCAGCTTTATTCATCTCCACTTCTCTGGTGTCCAGAATGATATGAAATGTTTGTTGAATGAGTTAATAAGGGTATTTAAAGAGAGATGACCTTTTCCTGCTGAGCTCTTATACAGCAATAGGTTTGTTCCAGGGGATCTATCATGGCCCTGGGGCTTTTTTTTTTTTTTTGAGACAGGAGCCTCAAGCTGTCCCCCTGGGTAGAGTGCTGTGGCATCTCAGCTCACAGCAACCTCCAACTCCTGGGCTCAAGCGAGTCTCCTGCCTCAGCCTCCCAAGTAGCTGGGACCACAGGTACCCGCCACAATGCCCAGCTATTTTTTGGTTGCAGCCGTCATTGTTGTTTGGCGGGTCCGGGCTGGATTCGAACCCGCCACCTTGGGTGTACGTGGCTGGCACCTTAGCCACTTGAGCCATCGGCGCCGAGCCATGGCCCTGGGGCTTATTGGAAGAGCCTTTTCTATGCTCAGAAATGAGCTAAGAAAGGAATATTATGGCCAGAGGATGGTGCACATCTGTAGTCCCAGCTACTCAGGAGATTGAGGTAGGAGAATCACTTAAATCCAGGAGTTCAGGTTGCAGTGAACCATAATCACACCACTACATTCCAGCCTGGGTAATAGAGCAAGATCCTGTCCCTTAAAAGAAAAATTCAAAGTGGTTGCTAAAAAAGGGAATTTGTTGATTCACCTTAGCTATCCACCAATAGCTAGATCCAGGTTCTAAAAAGTGTGATCAGGAATAATTTCATCTTGCTCTGTTTTCCTCTATGAAAGCTCTGTGTGCTTCCTCAGGCAAGCTTTCTCCAAGAGGCGACAATATGGCTGCAGCTCCAGATTTATATCCTCAGATATTAGCAACAACAGTGGAAAGAATATCTTTTTCTACTAGTTTCAACAAAAGTTCTGAAATTGACTCATAGCCAGTTTGGTCCTATTCCTATCCCTCAACCATCACTGTGTCTAGGTGAAATAGCTCTGATTTGGGGACTGGGTTTTGTGACTAAAGCCTGGGAGGGAGTCAGCTCCCCCCAAAACATACTGACTGAAAAAGAGGGAGAGATATGACCCCAAAGAAAGAAAATTGGACTCTTACCAGATTAAGGAGGAGTAGAGGCAGAGGTGGTGGGACAAAAACAGTTGTTGTCTACCATACCCAGAAGTTGGTTTTATTTAACCATATCCTTTTTCTTCTAACTTTTTGAAATACATGTACAGCATACATTTAGTAATGTGTACCAATTTTTAGAGTTCAATTGGATAAATCCTCATGTATATACATGCATTGATTGGGGCAGTCACCCTCCAGATCAAGATATAGAACATTGCCAGTTCCCCAGAAGGTTCCCTTATTTTCCTCCCTAGTCAGTATCCCCCAGAAGTATCACTGTTTTGACCTTTATTATTATCAATTAGTTTTGTTTGCTTTTGAATTTTATGAAAGTGGAATCATGCATACATCCTCTTTTTATTTATTTATTTATTTTTGAGACAGTGTCTCACTATGTCACCCGTGGTAGATTGCCGTGGTGTCACAGTTCACAGCAACCTCAAACTCTTGGGCTTAAGTGATTCTCTTGCCTCAGCGTCCCAAGTAGCTGGGACTACATGCACCCACCACAACGCCCAGCTATTCTTTGGTTGTAGTTGTCATTGTTGTTTGGCAGGCCCAGGCTGGGCTTAAACCTGCCAACTCTGGTGTATGTGTCTGGCACTCTAACCGCTGAGCTACAGGCACTGAGCCAACATACATCCTCTTTTGCACATTATTTCTGTGATATTCATCCATGTTATCATATGTATTAGGAGTTCATTTTTTTCATGCTGCATAGTGATCTACTATTTAATATGCTACAATTTAGCCAGGTATGGTGCCTCACATCTGTAATCCTAGCACTCTGGGATTAGATTGCTTAAGGTCAGGAGTTTGAGACCAGCCTAAGCAAGAGTGAGACTAAAAACAGAAAAACTGACTGGATTTTATGGCAGGCACCTGTTAGTCCCAGGCATTCAGGAGTCTGAGGCACGAGTATACCTTAAGCCCAAGAGTTTGAAGTTGCTGTGAGCTATGACACTATAACACTTTACCCAAGGTGCCAAAGTCAGACTCTCTCTCAAAAGAAAAAAAAAAAAAGTCTCGGCGCCTGTGGCTCAAGCAGCTAAGGCGCCAGTCACATACACCTGAGCTGGCAGGTTTGAATCCAGCCCAGGCCTGCTAAACAACAATGACGGCTACAACCAAAAAACAGCCAGACATTGTGGCAGGTGCCTGTAGTCCCAGCTACTTGGGAGGCAGAGGCAGGAGAATTGCTTGACCCAGGAGTTAGAGGTTGCTGTGAGCTGTGATGCCACAGCACTCTACCCAGTGTGACAGCTAAAGTCTCTGTCTCAAAAAATATATGTATATATATATATATTTACACGTGACAATTTAGTCATTCTACTGGTTTTGGAGGGTTTAATTTTTTTGTTTTTGAGACAGAATCTCACTCTGTTGCCTGAGCTAGAGTGCAATGGTATCATCCTAGCTTACTACAACCCCAAAGTTACGGGCTAATGCAATCCTTTTGCCTCAGCCTCCTGAGTACCTGGGACTTTAGGCAAGTGACACCACACTCAGCTAATTTTGCTATTTTTTTGTAGAGACAGAGTCTTGCTCAGCTGGTCTGAAACTCCTCACCTCAAGTGATCCTCCTGCCTTGGCCGCCCAATGTGCTACAATTACAGGTGTGAAACACTGCACCCACCCTGTCCTTTCTACTGTTTTTCTTTTGTTTTTGTTTTTGTTTTTTGAGACAGAGTCTCACTTGGGCACCCTTGGTAGAGTGCCATGGCATCATAGCTCACAACAACCTCAGAATCTTGGGCTTAAGTGGTTCTCTTGCCTCAGCCTCCTGAGTAGTAAGGACTACAGGCACTCATCAAAAGGCCTGGCTATTTTTAGAGATGGAGGTCTCACTCTGGTTCATGCTGGTCTCAAACTCATGAGCTTAGATAATCCACCCACCTTGGCCTCCCAGAGTGCTGGGATTATAGGTGTGAGGCACTACACCCAGCCTTATCCATGCTACTGTTGATGGACAACTGGGAATCATAGAGTAGGTATATGATTAGCTTCTCTAGATACTGTCAAATGGTTTTCCAAAGTGGTTCCCAACTATAATATATGAAAGTTCCAGTTGCCCCATATCTTTCTTAGCACTTGGCATTATCACTCTTTTTAGTTTTGGCCATTCTGGTGGCAGTTTGAATCCAGAGTTCCTAACTTCAAGTGAGGGCCCCACTTATTCTTAGCGCCCTTAAGACCATGTTTGAATTTCTCTAGCCTGGAATGCTCTCTGAAGTCAGTATACAGGACCCACAATGGAGCAGGCAAACATCAAAGGGATATCCAGCCCATGGCTCTAGTGGCTAAAGGAGGTCTCAGAGTCATCAGCCCTGAACCAACAGTCTAGTATAGTAGCAAAGAACTCAAATTCTGAGTTCAGATCCCAGTAATGTCATTGCAGAGCTATGTGATCTTGGTTAGGTAACCTCCACCTTGGTGAAATTTTCATAGCTACCTCATAGGGTTATTGTGAAAATTAAAAGAATAGATCTGAAATAATTATTGTGCCTGATACATGATAAATGCTATATAAATGATAGCTGCTGCTCTTTCTGTTCTTGGGTTCTGAATGTAAGCCCTGGTCTCCCTGGGGAGATAAGGCCACAGGCAGATAGCATCTGGCATAGCCTCCTTTATTAAGATTCAGTGATTTATGAAATGCCAGAAGCCTAATTCATTCTGACTGAGGGGAATTGGCCAGAGATGACTCTTTCCTGGGGTTCATGTTCCACTGCTAGAGAAACCAAGCTTATCCCAGGCCTCCTAGCTTCTGTGGCCAGCAAGAAGAAATGATCATGCATGAAATGAAATCAAGATGAGATAGAATCATGCTCTGGCTCGGCGCCTGTGGCTCAAGTGGCTAAGGCGCCAGCCACATACACCCAAGGTGCGGGTTCGAATCCAGCCCGGCCTGCCAAACAACAATGATGGCTGCAACCAAAAAATAGCCAGGCGTTGTGGCGGGCGCCTGTGGTCCCAGCTACTTGGGAGGCGGAGGCAGGAGACTCGCTTGAGCCCAGGAGTTGGAGGTTGCTGTGAGCTGTGAAGCCATGGCACTCTACCCAGGGGGACAGCTTGAGGCTCTGTCTCAAAAAAAAAGATGAGATAGAATCATGCTCTTAGCCCAGAGCTAGATAAAAAGCAGGTGTTTTGGATATAATCACCCACACACACGCAGACACAGATCTAGTCATGTACCAGATATATACCCATATAGTAGCCATGAGGACTTATGTGAGGAACACTGGCCTAGGATTCAGGGGCTCTAGGTATTGATCTGAGCACCACCACTGCCTTCATGTAACCTGAGGCCTTGATACTGTGAAGTAGATATTGGAGGAAATTAGCAGTTCTCAGCTGGAGTCCGAAAGAAGTAATAATAGGAGTTAGGGGTTCCTCCCAAAGTAGATACAGATGAAATCCCTAAGCCACTATGGTGGTGCAT